CCTGTCACTGAGTCATCCTTTGTTGATGGAAAAAAGTCAGACCAAAGAGTCAAGGGACTTTGCCCAGTAACACAGGATGAATAGAGAATGGGGAAACAAGCAGCAGGCCTCCCAAACTGTGGTCCCATGGAAGTATCTGGACATGGTTCTGATGTTCCTCCCATGCAACCACACCTTCCATCACCAAGCAGAGCTTTGTGTGTTTTTATACATAATACATAAATCCACAACAGATGTATCAGCTCTATAAATACAAGAACTGGGGCAGAAAATCACATGAGTGTGAAGTGTTGGTGGACAGCATCTCAATTTTAGAGGTTGGAAAACCTTTTCTGTAAAAAGCAAAAGAGTAAATAGTTTGGGCTTTGAGCCATTGGTCTTTGTTAAAACTACTCAACTCGACACCGAAGTGCTAAAGCAACCACAGACAACACGTAAGCCAGTGGGCATGCCTGGGTTCCAAAAAAGCTTTATTTATAAAAATAGGCTGTTAGATGAGCTGGCCCACAGGCTGTAGTTTGTGAATCACCTTAGCTAAAAGGTGACTGACTAGTTTAAATGGTGCACCTTACGTACTAGAGGAAGCGTAAACATTAAATAGTCATGTCCTTCTCCTTGGTCATCATGTTTAAATATTTGTAAAGTAAGGACATAGTACTTTATTTTTCTAATTATAAATGTTACAGCATTTCTTAGAAACTCACCGTTTTTCTGCCTGACAATATTGGCTTTAGGAAGAGGGAAACAAAGAAAAAGAACATGAATTGATGGCAACCTGGAACACGTCTCTTGAGTAAGAAGCATTTCCAAACTTCTCTGTCATTTCTCTTTTACCAGTTAGCAAATTAAACTGCTGAAATTTTCATTCATTATCCCATTCTCTCTCTCTCTCTGGCTTGATAGCTCATTTATTCTTGTTATTATTATTATTTTACATTCAATTGCTATACATCATTTAGCTTGTAAAGAGAATTTACCCAACATGAAATACACCTCAGACAAGTCAAGAACACTATACACGTTTACAAGGCAGTAAAATTCTCCAACTTCAGTAAACAAGAAGGCTGAGAAGGAATGGGGGAAAATATAACCTGGGGAGTTGCATGGTAGGTAGGTATCACTTTTATTCACATCACTCTTCCCTGGTAGATAGGGATGCAACTCCTGTTGCTTCAAGTCAGAGTCCCACCACGGGAAGGCTATGGTTATTACTTGTCAAGTCTGGGTAATGCAAAGCCAAGGCCAAGCCTGACACATCTGAGCAGCACTCATTCCTCCCACAGAAACATACAGTACTACTCCGCCTCTAAATTATGCCATTCTGTTTAGTTTCTCAGCAATACAAGCAAGACCACCAGGAACTAGGAACTCCAACTTTCATGCAGCTCATTATCTAATTTCCCTCAACCATCTGCTTCCAGGCCTAGAGCCTTGTATACAGGCATAGCCAGGTTACAAACATACAGTCCCCCAACCTGTTTCTGCAGGAGTAACCATCTTCGTTCGCTACCAGGGTTGCCAAATAATTACTCTAAGTGTCAAGATGGGAGTGGGGTAGATGGGTGGGAATTCAGGGAGACTGTGTCCAGAACTGAAACATTTCCCGTATCTCCAAACCCTGCACTGTGGGAGATCTGGTGGAGCATGTCCTGTGATGCAGAAGGCTACCACTGATGTCTACTACATAAGCCAGGCGTCCAAGCTCCTAAGTCAGTAACATCAAAACCTTAGAGCCACAAGTTCATCGACTCAACTAGTCAACATATGGTCTAAATGACTTTTGGTAAGGGTTTTCTTTCTAAATGGAAATGCTATCCATTGGCATGGTTTCTGAGTTTTGAGTTTAGACTCAAAACTAAGCACCTTTTATCTCAGTTCAGGATCATTCTATTTCTTTTCCCACTTTAAAAATTTACTATTACATAGCAGCTTCTGTTTTCAGGTACCATGCACACCCTCTTCTGGTCACTTAGAAAAACTGATCACTACTGAGAAAAATACAGGGAGTGGGACAGTAAGAAAAAGGATGTATCTGATACAATGAGACAGCCTTTCTCTTTTGATCACTGAACAATTCATTTATCATGAAAATTTGTGTCCTACCATTTTCTGTGTAGGGTATTTATCTGGGGTATTTTGGAGCTCTTGCTAACATCACTATTCTCCTGCCATAGCTTATTTTGTAGCTGGGACTACAGCTAACATACCTGTTTTTATCTATTTATTTTCCCCAAAAAGGATGGGCTGGGAATCAAGCTCAGGCCTTCCATGTGGATCCAGTCTCCTGAGCAAGTACCCAGCATGCATTACTGAGGCTGAACCAATGTTTCACAACTCTCGAACAAATCTTTTTCATTTCCTACATTATGAAAGGCATGGGACTACTCTAGGGGAAGAGTGATCAAGTGAGGCCCAAGAAAGTCCCTCAGACATGCAGTTCAGTCCTCCAACTTCTCATGCCAGAAAACGCCTGAAGGTGAAAGAAGCATGTTTAATTTGCACACCCTGAATCACACTTTGTGCCAAGGCACAACAGAACATAGTGTTAAAAGCCATGGGGGGGAGGGGCGCTAGCAAGTGGCATAGTGGTTAAGGAGCTGGACTCATGTGGCCAACCACAGCTCTAGTCCCAGACCTGGTGGCTTGTAAGTCATGTTGTGCATGTGCATGTGTCCAAAATTCTGAGAGCATGGAGAAGGGATTGTGGTGTGTCTGTTCCCGCCCCCCGGGGGATGATTTCTTGCTCTTTCTCTCTAGTGAGTGCATGTATTCTATACTAAAAATCACTTTAAAAAAAAAAAAAAGCCATGGACTTTAGGGGCATGGTGGTTAAAGTAGTGGATCCCACATGGCTATCCCTGCAGTTCAAGTCCCAGGCCCAGCATATTGAAAAACATTCTGGATGTATGTGCAAGCATGCCCGAAATCTTCAGAGGAAAATGGAAGAGAAGGGACTGTGGCAGGCCATCCCCCAGGGGCAATTTCGCAACTAACGTCTCTCTCTCTGGCGAGCATATGAGCCCTTATGGCAAAAAATCAATCCATCAATCAATCGATCGATCTATGGACTTTGGAGTGAGAGGAAGTTTGAATCCCCTGTTCTGCCACTTACCAGCTGTCTCTCAGGCTACTTAACATCTCTAAGACTGTTCCATCATCTGAAAAGTGAGAAACAGTAATGGACCTACCTCCTAGAGCTATTATGAAGATTAAGTAAATTAGTACTGAGAAATGGCTGAAAACAACACCTTGCAGAGAGGAACCAGGATAAAAAGGTGAAGAGACCTATGGGAGCCATCTCCTAACACCAGCATGTTCTCTGGTCAGACGCTTAGGCCAGCCATCCCAGATGGAGCTTCTGACTAATAACTCCTCCCTTGCAGAGTTTACAACCATCTCTGGCAAGCACTCAGCAATGCTACACGCTGGACCTTTTCTCTATCGTACATGCTGGGCAGGTCATGGATTCTTTAAGTACTATACTGAAATGACAGACTACATTTCAATAATCATTTTATTAGTACAGAAGAATCCCCACTAGTATTTACATAGTGCAAAAAAGCTGTTATTCCCCCCCCAATGTAATATAACAATTATCCTTCATATAGCAAAAGAACAAGATGAAAATCCCTTCTTGTTATAACACACTAATTTTGCTAGTTTTTTTTATTAGAGCATTACAATTAAGACATTAAATTATAAATCCATGTGGTATACTTAGAAATTAAATTACAAAATAATACAAATACTTTAAGGTGTAATGTGCCAACAAAGTTTAGATTTTTATTATCAATTAGGATTCAGATTTCAGATTAGGCAGTTTGGTGGATTCTGTGGTGTGTGTAAAGGTTGGAAAGAACAAGGGAGAAAAGAAAAAGGTCTGTAAACAAATTATTTCACAGAAAAAATTTTAAATCAAAAAATATAATTAAGTTTTTAAATGGATTAAATTAATAGTCTAATCTGTTGGCACAACATACAGAAAATACATAACAGGGGTTTTTAAGCAAACAGCAGCTTTACAAACAGTAATACTTCTTTATACATATATTAAAGTAATAATGTGTTAAGATTTAAATTTTATGTTAAAGAGTTGAAAATGAATGTAGAGTTCACTATTCATTTGCACATTACAACTCCCATCCCACCCGCCTCCCCCAACTTATTAAGAAATCAGACGTACATTATTTGGATATTAATTTCTCAATATTTAAACTATGTGAATTCCTTTTGACTAATTCTTCTCCAAATACTAGAAGCATATAAAATACCATCTCTGCAAAAATGACCTCCAGTCAAAGCCTGTAAAAACTTTTCAATGTATAGCACACATTATTTTTCCATGTTTAGTCAAAAGAAATATATTACAACATTTACAAACACATTTAAACCAAAAATTAAGCTACTATGAACATCTGTCTTGTGAGAATCTTCACAGCAAACAAACCTACTGAAGCAGAAATCTAATTCTGGGAGTGTAATTCATATACTTATGCACTGAAACAGAAATCTAATAGTAATTATTGCCAGTAAAATAACCTCTACACACTATGAAATAAAATCATTATGGTTTTTACTTATTGTGATGATGAATCTCTACTTTCACTACTAGATCACTTTCTAGGTCTCCAAAGAGCCAATCTCATCTTTTTTTTTTTTTAAAAAAAAAAAAAAAAAAAAAAG